GGCCCATGAAGTCGATTCACCGTGTATGTTCTTGCGGTGTGATTGTACCAGTTGCTGGTGCGACTTCAAAAATTACATATTTGAAAATTTTATGATTGTACAAGAATACTGGTGTCGTTAATAGTGAAATTAGCTAATTTTTCTAAGAAAAAAGTATTGTTGCGAAAATGTCTTACACTATATGAGTCAAAGCCGTGTTTGTGGAAGATTAAAGTTCACGATAATGCAGCAGTGAATAAAAAAAAAAAACAATGTTTAACAAAATGCTAGAAAAATTATGAAATTTTGGCTCTAATCATTTCGATCTTTCCTGGACCTTATTTGTAAAGAAATGGATATTGTACCAGCATGCTGGTAAGTTACAGTGACGGGCAAAACTGTAACATGCTTTAACAATTTTTGTTTCAACCACCGCTATATTTCCAAGTTCTAGCGACTTTCATCCTTTTGTTGAATATTCTTGTTGGTACATCCCTACTCCATCTCTCATAATGATTTGAAGTCAATACAACAAGAATAAAAAAACCAGCAGACAAAAATGTAAATTAAGGCAGATGTTACAGTTTTGCACTCACTCTCAGTTTTGCATTTGACAGTTATCTTTTACTTAGTTGGAAGTCATATGACTTTTTTCTATATTGTATTTTATTGAAGAAGTGATCACCAGTAAATAACATAGTTAATCAGGAACCATAAATGTAAATAATAGATTTACTGCGGAAAGGCGGAACCGCACGAAAGGTAGCAAAAAATTTTGGAATTTGCTACTTAAAAATGTTAAGACTTAGAAAAAATATAGCCTAAAGTGTTCCCAAGGACAAAGGAAGTCTGTTAAAAAATATTACGGTACGATATCTTGTGAACTTAGAAGCAAGTAGCGATGCAGCCACTATTACAGAACCGCTTAAGGTATTAAACTTTAATGCAAATCAATAGACAGCGAGGCGAAGAATTGCCAAATTGAGCGCAAAGGCATCATAAAGAAGAAAAAAGCAAATTTGATCATAATACATGTGCGAGTGTGGCAGCATTTCGCTACATCCCACGAAAACCGAACTGTTGCCTATTGGGATATGTTAGGCCGTTCAGAATGCAATAAAAAACATATTTTTAAGTTTCAATTGAAGGTTATTTGGTCTGACAAGACTAAATTAATCGCTTTCAATCAGATGGCCGGGCATGGTATTGGATCAAAGACCCAAATTAAGCCTAAGCGCATCATGTACTGCAAACTGTGAATCACAGTGGTAGGATCTTAATTTTTTGGGGTGGTATTTCAAAAATTTTATTGGTCCGTTGGTACGCATTATGCGTAAGGAACAGTATCTGTTCATATTTCAACAAAATTTGCAAGATTTAGTCGAAAAATGAGAGTTTCTGCTGAAAAATCACCCAAAACATACTGCATATGTTCGCAAAGACTGGATACAAAAGCAAAAATTTGCTAATTTGAAATGACCTCCACAAACCGCGGACATGAATCTCATAGAATTTGCGAAATCAACTAAAAGCACAGCTTAATAAGTATCAAAGTCCGTAAAATCGAGTACATGAGCTGTGAAAGCGAACTAAGGATCTACCTCCAGAATTTTTACAAAGATACAAATAAAGTATGCCAAATCACATCCAGGAACTGAAACAGGCAAAAGAGTACTGAACATTGTGTTAGTAGTTCTTTTTTTTCGTGAAAATTGTTAAAAAGCTCTTAAAAATATATGAGTGCAAAACTGTACATCTTCCTTAATTTACATTTTTGTCTGCTGGTTTTTTTATTGTTGTTGTATTGACTTCAAATCATTATGAGAGAGGGAGTGGGGATGTACCAACAAGAATATACAGCAAAAGTATGAAAGTCGTTAGAACTTGGAAATATAGCGGTGGCTGAAACAAAAAGTGTTAAACCATGTTACAGTTTTGCTCGTCACTGTATAAGCTTCGAGCCTGATGGTACAATAATTTGATGGAGCCAGCAAGCTGGTGTCACATATTTCCCCTTTTACACAAAAAGGTTTTTGGTTTGATAAAATATTAGCTTTCTTCCAGAGTACATATTTTTTCTTATACCATTACTTATTGAAAATGTTTGCGTGTATACTTATATATGTATATGTAAGTAAAAAAAATTAACTAGCATTTTTAGCCACAACGACTTTTTTAGCTCTTTTTTATCCCTTTTTTAAAAGGAATTTAGCTACCACTGAAAATGATTCCCGGCAACACTGTTTCTGGTCTGCTTATTTTTTTTGTATCGTTTCCCTTTTATTAATTCACTTCACTTTGCGATATGATTACCATGAATGCTTTGATTTAAATGTCATGTTCTGTGCATCAGATTTTAGCGCCAATATTTATGCGTCATTTCGGCCAATATGCACCTCCATATCTTCCGTCGTTCAGTGTTTAGAGACATTCAAAGGGGGGTCAGGTTAAACAAGATAAAATAAAATAATAACAAGGTGTTGTCAGTAACTTAACTCCACTTTTTCGGTAGGTCTATTCCGATCACACATTTTAAAGTAGTAGAAAAGGTAGTAATTATTTGCTACTTTTAATTCGTTGGTGCATACTGTTTCAAATTAAATGTAGAAAAATGTATAATTACAGGCTTATAAGCCTGCATATATATATGTTTGTATCGGCAGCTCCACACAGCTTGGACATATATTGTAACTTAAAAATTGTAAAATAAAGCAATTTCCTATAAAACTGTAAATGATTTTTTAAATAGATTAAAACACATATCGATAATATAAGCGAAATCGTAATTTAACCATGCTGCCACTCTATTCTAGTGTATCAGTAGTCCATTTGGCTCGATATTATGACAATGCAGCAAATGTTATTTAAAATAAAAAAACCGCCTTTTCATACGATTTTTGTGTACGTCTTTTTCCATTGATAACCACGATATCTTTTATTTTTTTACATTTTGAGGACAAAATTATACAAATCCAGCAATTTTAGATATTAATATCGTTCTGAAAACACCAAGTTATTTAAAAATCGCCATAAAACGAATTACTAAAATGGAGTATTTTAGATACTATTTCCCAACGAATGGTAGTATAAAAATTAGAATCGGCAGCACAGAAAATAAGCATGCCGATCTTGTCAAAATTATAACAAACACGTCGCTACTGACAACACCTTGTTATTATTCCACCATGCTCCCTGCCCACCTTTACTTCAAACACTTTGAAATTTTTTCTGCTTCAAGATTGTATGAAATAAAAGTGTGAAGTGTATGAAGTAAAGGTTGGTAGGGTAGTATATACATAAACGAAGTGGAACGATTTAATAAATTTAAATAACAAATAACTTATAAGCAGTTATATTTTCTTAGTTATATATTTTTTAGAGGATGCTTGCCTAATCATAATCCTTAAGTTTCAGTAGTTAATTCCACATGGTTTCCTTAAAACAAAGAAGGCGGCTGCGTTTAATGTTAAACACCACCACTGCCCATAAACTCATATATATGGCGCAAAGTTAATATAACATTATGTGCTGCCAGGGGTTTATTTTTCCTTCTCAAGGCTGTAGAAATCCACGCCGGCAGTCTTTTGTTGCTCCACACGGTGACAATATCATACTCAGCCTCATTGCGTAAGTCGTAAATATGGCTAAATTATACGACTCGACGACATTGGCATTGTCTACTGTCGTGCTGAAATAAGAAAACGACGAAAACCGTCGAAAACTATGCAGTGCTGCCAAGTTTTTCCGTTTAAATACATTGGTCGAGTCGAAATTTTTGGCAATGACATGAAGTTTTCGATACGATTCGACTCTCGAAAATACTTGCATTCGACACGACTCACGCAATGAGGCTGACTATTTAGTAATTAGGTACAGAGTGAAGTGCAGTGATTTACATATATTGATGCACTTTTTTTTTTTTAAGTAAAACACACTTTCAATAATATCATTCGATTAATCATAATTATTCTCATAAATTTTTAATAAAATATATGTCTTTTTTAGTTAAAAAATTGTGTACTTGACAAGCACGCAAAATTCATATTGTAAAATAATTAATATAAAAATATCAAAGATGTATGTACAGTGCATATATAAGATGTCAACCAGTTCCTACAATTGCTTACGATTTTTTGCTAGTAACAGTAAATATAATTTAACTAATTTGAAAACTGGGAATTTGGCTCTACATTATAATTTAAAGCGAAAGAAAAGTGATATACATATATTGCATTTTCCGGTTAACATATGTAGAATCATAAAACACTTAAATATATCCTGATTCGATTTTTTATATTTTCTCATAGTTTGATAGCACTGCATTATTGTGAAAGATTATCCTATAAATCGAGTATTATTTGTGTATTTTTAAGACTTGTTACGAGACGAAAATTAATCGAAGCGAACGTTTTATAAAAGATATACAGTATCGGTCATATCTATAGCACGCCATTTCAAAGTGATATTGTGTACAACTTATGTTTATTTATTTATTTTTGAGAATTTTCAATTAAAATACAGTTCTTTCTCTAACAAACCCCATATAAATCCAAATTTAACAATTTGTAGAAAACTTCAAAAAAGTGCAACAAATTTTCACCTAAATTTCAAACTTTTTTCTCAGAAGTGTTTGAATTTTTCTGAATACACAGTTTTATAGCCCAATGAATTTTAGTCTGATAATGTGCAAGTTTCAAGTGACTGAAAGTTACCGTTGATTTTTTAGAATTTTTTTCTATACAAATAAATTGAGTTTATTCATTATATGGAAGCCAATGCGACAAAAAAATTCTAAAAAATTAACGGTACTTCGTACCTACTTGAAATTTGCACATTATCAGACTAAAATTGCAGGGGCTAAAAAAACTGTGTACTCGAAAAAAATCTAACACTTCCGAGAAAAAAGTTTGAAACTTAGGTGAAAATTTGTTGCGCTTTTTTGAAGTTATCTATAAATTGTTAAACTTGGGTTTATATGGGGTTTGTTAGAGAAAGAACTGTATTTTAATTGAAAATTCTTAAAAATAAATAAATAAACATAAGTGGCACACAATATCACTTTGAAATGGCGTGCTATAGATATGACCGATACTGTACTTATGTCATGGAGTTTATGTTTCATTTGATTTCGTTGGAGGACTAGTTAAGGATCAGTAAGAACACCTAATTCACTCACAAGAGTTCATTTGTTGTTTTTGACAAATATCGCAACGGTTTCTGAATTTTCCACATTCGGTTCTACGGAAATCGGATCCGAGGTAGTTGATTTCGCTGACAACGCAATTTTATTTTTACGCTTGATTTCTTGCAACATTTTCCTTTGAGATTCTCGTTTTAAAGCTGCGGCAGACAAAACTACATTTGATTTCATTTCACTTCCGTTGGACGAGCTTGGCTTTGCCTTTTGGTTCACAGTCTTAATAGATTTTTGTTGAGTTTTAGATGACTTATTCGACTCTTGTGGTACGACTTCCATCGGTTTCTAAAATAAATATTAATGCATAAAAATTAAATACTTTTTTACAGCTATTCATGGGCATACCTTCCAATTGTTTCTTTGTAATACATCGATTTCATCGAATATAGAATCTATGTGATCGACCTGCAAATTCACCATGTCCCAGAATCCTTGTAGATCATCCGCTGTTGTAGGAAATTTGTCTTCGGGCGATGAATTCAGGTTATTATGACAAAGACCTACAATATATCACAAACATTGAAACATGGCTATGAGGACATATGACAACATATAACGATTTTGAAAGTAAAGCAAGAGGTTTGAAGAAACCAATATTGATCTCAGACAGATTCCTAGTTAATCAAAGATATTATCCTTTAGTAGAAAAATATAATAATTGGGGCGATACCCTTTTAGCAGTCACACCATTGATACAATACATACAAACTCAAAGTATATACAGAATCGAATCGCTGAGCGATCGTACGTTTAACGAAATTCGCCTAGAAAATATTTATTTTTAAAATCACAAATGGCTTTGTTTATTCACTTTTCACGCAAATTTCGATTTGGTTTTGTTTTACTGAGCGAAATGTTGCGGCGAATATCACCCGACGGCTTCGCTTCGGCCGACAAAATTCGCTCAGCGATTTTCGACTCTTTATACTTTTAATTTGAAGTTTAATTGGCAAATGTATAATAAAATTTGTCATGATTAGGACAACGCATAATGTTTTTCCTATTATACCATGGGCTAATATGCCTAATAGTCCGACTCAGGCTTAACCTTTATAAAACGGTTTTTAACAGCAGATCAAGCACGATGGAGGCGATGACTTGGATGCAAAACTCTAAAATAGAACCAAATAGTCCAAGCATTAACATTATTTTCTTTATGTTTCCTGTATTCAAACGTTGCGAAATAAAGGTCCATTCTGCATTTTGAATCTGATCAAATTTCTAAATTCACAAGTAATTTTTAGCAAAAAAAACCGACTTCAATTCTCATATATAAAAATATATATATATAAATCTCATGATCCACTGATCGGATCTTAACCAGATTAGAATGGGACGCCCTCTGAGACACTGTCTTTCCGATGCAAAAAGAATTATCGAAATCGGTTGACGTGGTCCAAAGTTATGCGGTAACGTACATAAAAAAAAATAAAAATATTCCGATGAAGTGATAACCTTCTCCTTTTTTGGAAGTCGGTTAAAAATAGTTATTCAAACACAACGTAATTTGAACAGTTTCTTAGGCATTGAAAATACAAAAATTGTGCCATTTACAAAACACTACATGGAAACAAAGTTTTTTACTCTTTTTAACCAACTTCAAAAAAAGAAGGTTATCAATTCGTCGGCATATATATACATATATTATTATTATTATTTTTTATGTATGTTACCGCGTAACTTTGGACCACGTTAACTGATTTCTTTAAAGGAAAGGTGTTACCTCAAATGTGGTCCCATACTAATTTGGTTCAGATCCGATTATTGGATCTTGAAAAAATTAATGATAATCTTAAATTTTCATATGGTTATGTTTTTTGCTTAAAAATAACTTGTTTTATTAATTCCACAGGTTTACAAAAAAAAGTTTCTGCATATTGAACCAAACCTCTATTTCCCTATGTTATTCGACGCCCTGAATACGAATCCGAGCTCTGTTAGTGTCCATCTCGTCAGCTTCGAGGTCATTTGAAGGTCAAGTAGGGAAAAATTCATTGAATAAACCTGAAAATTCAATAAAATTCTCCTGAATTTAACTTGAAGGTGACATTGGCATGACCTCTAGATAACTTCGAAAAAATCAAGGGACCTCCATTCCCATCCTATATTGAATAAATTTTTTCCCCTATTTGAGGTTACATTATATCAGGTTCGAGGTCATTTGAGGGTCAACAGACCTCATATTATTCGGGTTCAGCGAGTCGAAAATCCCATAAATCTGCGGTCATAAGCAATAACCGCAAAAATCGAAGAACCTGAATTCGAGAAAAATAGGGCTTTGCGATTATTCGATTACTCGAGCAAGTTGGTTAATCAATTATTCGGTTAATCAATTACTCGAGTAATCAAGATTTTGATTACTCAAACCGATGATTAATCGAGTTACTTGAAATATGATTACTCAAAAAAAATAATTTTGCTCGTTAAAAGAGTTTGGTTTGGAAAATGCTTATTTTCTTTTTTACATTCTGTATATGAAAAAAATTTTTCGTTTTAATTTTTGAAAACAGAAACGTTGTTTTCAAAGTATCAAGGAACTTGAACTACTTTATACATATGTAAAGAGTTGAAATGTTGATTACTCATTTTACTCGAAATGTTGATTAATCATAAAGCTCAAATATTTTTTTTTGGTTAATCAAAAATCTTGCTTACTTGATTAACTGAACTTTTGAGTAATCATAATTTAGAATTAATCGAATAATTGAGTTATTTACTTTATGATTAATTAAAATTTTGAGTAATCAATTAATCGCACAGCCCTAGTTTTAAACATTTGGATTGTAATGTTAACCTTATGCGGAAACCAAAACAGGT